GTCAACTGGGATGTGTTCCCTTAGATTTCCTTTATTTTATGGTTCACAGCATGTATTTTCTATGCATTTAGGCTTATTTTTGGATCATATATTCAAATTAACTTTTCAGATAACGTTTTTTTTGAGTGATTTGTGCAGATGAAAGATAATTAGGGGTTAGTTTATGTAAAGCCTCTTTATTTGTTAGTTTTCATCAAAATAAGAACTTTTATGCAGTAAAACAAACGCGATAAAATGCAGAAATATTCCGCAGTGTGAAACTGTGTGATTCCTATCAACATCTGCAAAAATTGACCGAATGGATGATGTAATAATTTCTAATAAAACAATTATTTCTAACAATGACGTGCTAGGCCTTACTTGGTTCACATTTAATTAATTCTTTAGACAAATATGTGAAAAGTAGACAGGAATTTGATCAGCATTATTACATAAACAAACAAATAAATCAGCTGAAATCACAAAATCAATAATATCTTAACAAAATCAAATGAAACTTCCCCTAAGTTGTAATGTAATAAATAGAGATCTCATAATTCCATATTAATTTGCAGAAAAAAATGAGCATCCCTGCAACAGTTTCTAGAGTCTTGAAATACATACCTGAACTACAACAGCAAGTTCAAGCACTAACAAAAAGAAAAGAGGAGCTTCTAGGCAGAATTTCTCGGCAATTGCAAGGAGATGCAGTGAACAAAGAATCTCAAAGGAAAATTTCCCACCACAACTCTTCTTTTGTTGTCTCAACAACTAGGCTTAACGAATGTGAAGCTGTAGTTCACATTTCATGTCATGAGACCCACAAGGCTCCACTATCAGAGATCCTGCAGTGTTTAGAAAATGATGGTCTTTTTCTGCTAGATGCTTCTTCCTCAGAAACCTTTGGAGGAAGGTTCTTCTACAATTTGCATTTTCAGGTATCTTTCACAATATTCCAATGTATGATAACTTCATTGGTTCAAAGATAATATTAACTATTAGGTTTCTAATTATATCCTTTTTTTCATTCTTATCAAGAAAAACAAAATGATGCATGAGTGAATATTAAAGTAGTAAGACAGAAAAAGGACATTTAACAAAACGACAATGCTAATGTTAGTGGTTAATGATTTAAAAATGCACCAAATTAGGTTATAATACTCTATAATTTTGAGAACTGATTAATGAAGTAATGCTGGTGTTTCTGCAGGTGGAGAAAACTAATAGATTAGAGCCCGAGATATTAACAGAGAAGCTTTTACCAATATATGAGAAGCAAAGGATTTTCTAATGAAACTAAAGTTGGCTCCAGGATCAAACGATTTTAAGTGCTCTGATGTTAAATTTGACACTTAAAATCGTCTGCACATATTTGGCATCTACTGATTGCAAGTTCATAAGGAAGAAATCATTTGTTGATTTAGAATTTAATGAATATTATAAATGTTACAAAGCAAAGTGCTTTGTCTCTTTCCTTTTAGTACATAGTGTAGATGGCTTTAGATTCAATTTTGAGGTTTTCATATCTAAGTTATATCATGGTAGTGGCAGATATATAGTCTTTAGTTATTATCTCATTTTCTCAATCATGCCCTACTTTTTCACATAGTAGGTATCATAAATGAAAATGGGTAATTATGTATGAATACTTACTCTACATCTATACAACACACTATTACAAGACAGTCTTTTTAACAATGGTTAAATAAGATTTATCACAACGATTACGTAACCATCGTTAAGCCAACCATCATTATAAATTAATGTTTTTAACGATGAGATTCACTGTTGATTAGATGTTACAGTAGCAACCAATCTAACAAGAACATTGAATGCGTAATAATATGTGCTTCACAAAGATTTGTAAAGATCATCCGATATTTACGGTTGAATTGAATACAAGAATGTTTATAAAAGTGGTGTTCATCATAAAAACAAAGTTGAACTAATATTTGGAAAATATAATGATAAATGTGTGCTAAAATTGAATTTTATCTTTCCTTCTTCTACTGTGATTTCATCACTCTTAGAATGAATTCTTGTACATAACTCATTTTTCCAGCCTACCCTACAGAGTAGAAGCCTCTAGCAAAAATGAGATTATTTGATTGGATCACAATTTGAGATCAATCTTCCAATTTAATCTAAACTAGTGAAATAAGATGAGTTGTAAATTCATCCAAATATTAAGCATAAACCAAATCACAAACTATTGAATAAACAAGCATACATAAATATTTAAAGAGGTAGTAGTACAGTGAATTAGATTCAATTAAGCTAAGAACTAGATACCTAAATCTAGGACCAAAGCCTTGCAATTATAGATAACTTTTGGTAGTGCTCAGCAATAGAGGTTTACTCTTAAGGTGGGTATTCTTCTCTGCTTAGCCTTTTGATATGGTGATAATCAGCATTTGAGTTGTCCTTCTTTTGAGGGTTTCTTTGGTAGCTTATCCCCTTTATCTAGTGCTTTAGGTTTTCTCTTATAAGGAATTTCCTTTTGTGGCTCAACACCATTTCGCATCATTCAGTTGGAAAGCTAAGATTTAATGCTCTGTATTTTCTGCTTTCAGGGTTCAATGCTAGTATTTGTGGCTTATTTTCATCTTTTCTGTTTTCCTCCAAAATGGTTGCAAAACATCAAAATATCATTAAATTCACTAATTTATAATTCTCCAAACCTCATTTTGTTACTTAAAGCTAAAAAGGATTGTTTCGATTACAAATGTGGTCAATTAGTGTATGATAAATGTCAAATTAATGTGAAATTTTAGACATTCAAGACACTTATCAACCATCATCATAAAATTTAACAATGACAACAATTGTTTGGTATAACCGCCGTGGTAAAGAACAAAAACCATGTCGTCAATGACAAATGTCGTTTCTACAATTAGTTTTACGTTTTTCTCAAAATTGATAATTATAAACTATTTGGGTTCAATATTATTTACTTAATAGAAAATAATACTTAGTTCCAAAATTTGAAAAGCTTTAACGATTATTATTATTATTATTAAAAATTATTGCAATTTTGTAATTGTTTAATAACTTAACATTCCAAAAAATACAGTATAAACTATATGATAGAATAATTACAATTAATCATAATTCAGATCAGTCTTAAAATTTACAAGAGCGTACGGTTCTCGGCCGAATGACCTTTACAAAAGAGTTACACACTTAAACTATGCAGAATCAGCAAACATGACCGAACGGTTTACAAAAGGGAATTACCGAGCGGCCAAATAACTCAAAAGGAAAGGTGACCACCTTACATCAATACTAAAATACTGAATTGTTCGGTCTTCACTTCTACTTCTACCAATTTTTCTTCTTCTAGCGCCTCTTCCAGCAGCTCGTCTCTTTCTGCTCACATCCACGCGGATGATCATTGCAACGACAAGGACGGATGTACAAAACGAGACAACACAGGAAAACACAGGGTAAGCTTATGTAATTTAATTCA